TTCTGGCCCTGTCTTCCCACTGTGTGTCCGTGTGTGTGTCTGAAAATCCCCTTGTGACTCCATTAAGAGTCTTTGCGACAGGGCTTTGTGGTGATGTGCCGTTCAGGCCGCCTCCTCATGCTGAGGTGCGCCATCCTTCTGCTTCGACATGACATGGGGACGGGAAGACACAACATTTGTGCATTGCGGTGCCTGAAATGAACTCGGGACAGTCCCAGGGAAATTAAGGAAAGGCCCAGGAATATTGAGTGGGAGGCAGCCCTGTGATTTATCCCCTGGCCCTTGCTTCTCCTTTGCTGCCCTCCCCGATCCCTCCTCCTTTCTTTGTGCTCCCTTCTCCACCTGTAAGATGTGGGGAGGCAGGATATTCCATGGGGACTAGGTGCAGAGACGGGTCTGGTTACAGTGGATGCTGGGGTTGCAATGGGAGGTGGCTCTTTTTGTGTGTTTCAGGTTCTCCTGCCTAGAGAGGAGTTCCTAGTGTACCCAGATGACATTATCGGGATCCAGCATAACGCAGCAGTGAACTCCCTCCTCCAGTGCCCGCAAAGCTCCCATTCCCCCTGGCGCCAGAGCTATATCAGCCTCATGAAGGACGGCTGGTGGGAGGGGAGCATCGGCAGCTTCTCCCACCCCACCTGGGTGGACCACGTCGTCTGTGACCTCCGAGTGACCTTCGTGGACGTGGCCCGGAGCTTTGCTGCCATGCCACTGCTGGCCAGGCATTTGGAACCCGGGGCCTACACCTACACAGCAACCGTGAGGAACGCCATCAGCAGCAGGCAGGTGGACTGCACGGTGCAGGTGCAGACCAAAGTCAGCGGGCTGCAGATCATCCACCCAGCACTCGCCAGCGGGAAGCTCCATGTGGCCTCCAAGAGAGAGACTCTGATTGTCGTCAAGATTCTCTCCGGCTGCAGTGCTGCAGCTCACTGGACGGCACCGGTGAATAGGGCTGGGGTGTTGTTTGAGGCCACCTGCCCAGGTAGCCTCACAGCACGTGTCCCCGCCTGCCACAGAGACACAGCGGACACCTGGTTCTCTTCGGCCCTGCTTCGCATGGAGGAGCCGAGAACGGAGACCCTGAATGTGCTGGTGGCCAACGAGATCAGCTCCCAGAAGCTGTCAGTGAAGATCCAGTCGTACGATGCCATTGAGGGGCTGCGGGTGGTGCCGCATGGACCCCGCAGGATGCTTGTGGATGTGTCTCAGGTAGGTTGTCTTGCTGCCCTTATTGTGCCTGGGTTATTGCCAAGGGCAACCTCTCACTATCGCCATGGTCCCTATGCCATGCTGTGGTCCCCTTCAGGATGTCTATGGAATCTCAGGTAGGTTGCCTTGCTGCATCTCTCCAACATCTCTGGTCCCAGTGCCACTTCCTGGCCCTAGTGGAAGCTGGCATAAGGGCTGCCTGATTGGAGTTACCATAAAACAAATGTATGGACACTCAGTGGCAAGATGAACCTACCCTCATCTAGCAGAAACTTCTGAGAAGGGTAGCTCTGAGCCTGTCCCATCCTCCCTCAGGATGCTCTGGGATCCAAAAATCCAGATTAGCATGGGCACTCTGTCTCTTACCTCCTGGCTCCAGTATCTGGGGTGTGTTACATCCATTGTATCCCAAAAATCCAGATTAGCATGGGCATTGGGTCTCTTACCTCCTGGCTTCAGTATCTGGGGTGTGTTACATCCATTGTATAGCTGCAGGTGATCGGGAGAATGCTGATGTTCCATGTGAACACATCCATTGCTTTGCTTTAGGCCTATTGGAAAGTTTCACCCCTTAGCCCTAGAATCAACCAGGAGGAAGCCATCTGAGCCTAGCCCATAGATCTTCTGCAAACAGCTGGTTGCTTTGCTTGGCAGGTGTTCTCTGCAGAGCTTGCCCAGGGCTCCTCTGTGTCCTACAGCTGGGTCATTGACAACATGGACATGTTTGCCTACAAGGGACAAACCTACAGCATCAAGTTCAAGAGACCTGCCACATACCAGCTGAAGGTGGGCAAATGTGAGCGCCACCCATGGGTTCCTTCAACTGTGGCACCTGTCATAAAGTGAGAGAAGGGTGTCTAGGAGTCAGGGCTCTGGGTGGCTTTTCTAGCTCTGCTGCTGACTTGCTGTGTGACATGAAATAAATTACCTACACTCTGTGCTTTAGGTTCTCCGCCTGTAAAAGGGAGGTGGGAATTCATATCCACCACACAGGCCGGTTTGAAAGGGTTTAAATGTTTATAAAGAGCTAGGAGACCCCCTCAGTGAAGAGCATCATGTTCCCCACCACCACTATCAATATTCCTTCTCATCTTTTCCATCCATGTCTGGATTTTTTTCCCCATCAATGTGTAGAATAATGTTTGTATGTGCACCAAGGCATGTGTGAATGTGCACCACCTGTGGAAACAAAAACCTAGCTGTGGGCACTCTGCTAATCAGCTGGGTGGCATCTTCACCTCTCCTGAGTGGCAGCACAAGCGCACAGCTTACAGGGAACACTTCTTGCCCCCACATGGGTGTTTTGCAGATAGATGGACAAATATACAATTTATTTATTTAAACCATAAGGTGTAGAAACCTGGCTGTGCAGCCAAAGGCCTGGCAGGACTCAATGTGCATCAGGCAGAACCACAGAGTGGCCACAGTGACACAGTGCCAGCTTGACTCAGGACTCTGCCTACGACACCCAATTGCCCCACTTGCTTTTCCTCCATGGAGGCTTGACTCCTCATGGGAGTCATTGCACGCTCCATACTGGTGCTGCTACGTTGCCAGAGGGTGTGGTCTGGGCAGTGATTAGCTGCCGTTGCACATCTCCAGGGGTTGCATTTTCCTGGCTGTCAGGCCGCTTTTCTCCATAGAACGTCTGTCCCTGGCTCCAGTCCCCATGCTCTCCATGCCCCGATGAGACCATAAAAGTAGCTCTGCCGTTTGCTGACCTCTGCCACCAACCTGCATGGCGGGAGGCACTGTGCTGGGAATCAGTGGAGTGTGTGACATGGGTGGGGCAAGTTGTATGGGGTTGTGTTGCAGCAAGGGGCAGTGAGACAAATGGGGGGGAGGGGCAAACAGTGGTCGTGGTACTGTGGGTTGGGGAGGTGTTGCGGCGAGTTGGGGTTCCTCTGATCCTGCAGCCCCATAGAAGCAAGAACAGACTCCATCAGCCAGTAGAATAGAGAGGGCTTATTGCTTCTCCAGGATACAGCACAGCATAGACGTGATGTGTCTACAGGAGTCTGGGCCAGGATGCCTCAACCCCCTTGAGATGGGGTCTCTGGGCCCCTAGATTCCAGCCCCCTCCTTTGTCCATTTCCTTGATGGTTCCAGCCCAAGACTGCTCCTTCTTAGTTCCCTCACTGCCCTCAACCGGTCTGACCGGTTGGGTCTTTGTCCACGTGACCTAGGCAGCCCACCTGCTGGGCCATGCTCACAGACAGAGGCCAGTGGGTGTCATCCACAGCCTACAGCATAGCAACCAGAAAGGAACTGACACTACATCACAGCATGTGGGTGAATCGGTGAGAATCACACATCACAGCGCAGGGGGGCACCGGTCACAGAGCAGACAACACCCCCACTAGGTCACAGGAGGTCATTGGCAGCCATGGCACAGTAGATTGGGCATCGTTGGCAGTCCTAGGAGTGGGTCCTAGGTCTGGAGCATATGCAGAGTCAGGAAGCGAATGTCTCTCATTCACATTTCTGTGCATTTGATGCCATTGTGTTCCTCCTGCCCAGCTCAGAGCTGAGAACCCCGTAAGTTCGCAGGTCGTGGAAGTGGCGCTGACAGCCGAGGCGATGAATCCACTCGCCAACCCTGAGATAGTGGGGCTCCCTGGTGTGGTGGCAGTTGACACCCCCCAAATGCTGGTGTTCAGGGTGGAAGTGGACACTGCTATGGAAGTCACTGTGAGGTGAGAGTCCATGGAGCCAGAAAGCAGAACTCCTCCCCCCGAATGGGAGTATCCACCACAGAGGCCAGGCTAATGAAATCTATTGAACGGTCAGGGGACTTCCTAAAGAGATCAGCTTTCGTAGGCAGATCTTTGTACCACCTGGTGACATCTTGTACCAGTCCAGTGCCTTTTTGTGTGTGATCTCTGACAGGAGCCCTTTCTCCCATGCCATGTCTGGAAAGAGGTTTCCTAGGAGACCTTGTATCTCTCATCAGGAAGGAAGAACCAAGGTGGGACATGTGATTATCCAAGGGGTGAAAAATAGATTGTAAAATGTGGTGGGTTTGAGAGTCATCCCTGATGGGCATAAGTCACCAGAGACTCCAGTGAGAAATGTTTGCAGGTGATGTGGTGTTGGAGGGCCTTGGCCAGCTATGTCTCGAAATGCCAACATGTTACATCGAGAGCGCTCTGCGTTCTGCAGAGTCTGCGCATCAAACCAGATTGAGCTGAAAATTGCGCTCATGGGATATAGGAATTGCCATGTTGGGTCGGATACAAGGACCCTCTTGCCCAGTCTCCTGCCTTCAGAGAAAGTTGCTGGGGGAAATCCATGCTGTAGCACATGTCAGATAATCTGCTTCTTTCCCCGGTGTTTCTCTTTGGGATCCTTTCTAGCTAGAGATTAGCTTGTCCCTTCCACAATGTACATTTGTATCTGCTGTTCTAATGCTGGCTATTTGTGTTATTCATGTATCCGCCCAATCTCTGAACCAGCTGCAGCTTGGTGCTCACCCCCCAGCAGTCGCCTGGCTTTCTTTACCCCTGTCTGAGGTGGAACTATTTCTCTTTGCAGGTGGGGTTTTGGGGATGGCAGCCCCAAGGTGGAGAGCCTGCTGTCTCCCCCCTATGACTCACAGCTGTCCCGGCCAGACCCACAGGGAGAGAGGGTCCAGGTGCTGGCCAGAGTGACCCACACATACACTCAACCAGGTGAGAAAGGGACGGGAGCTGAGGGGTCACTTGGAGCTCAGAAGAGCCCTTAACCCACGTGTTGGAGAGGAGAGAGAATGGGATAGGAAGGTGATGGGAGAGGGGCACAACTGTTACTCAGATGTGGAGAGAGAATGGGATAGGAAGGCAGGAAGGTGATGGGAGAGGGGCACAACTGTTACTCAGATGAGTACAGAGGAACTTCCTGAGCACAATGGGAATGACAGTCTCTAACCACAAGAATCCTAGAAACCCTGGTTCCTTCCCACAATGCCTTTCTTCTCCGCTTCCGCAGGCAACTACTCAGTGACTGCTGAGGCCGTCAACAAATACGATCGAGTGGAGCAGGTGGCCAGAGTCCACGCCGTCTGCCCCATAGCGTCCGTGACCATTCGGGTGACTCCAGCCTCCCCCCTGGTGAATGAGGTTACCCAGTTCGAAGCGTTACCCCGCCCTTCCCCCTATGGCATTGTTTACTCCTGGAACTTCAACGATGGCTCTCCCACGCAGGTGGGAGTGAATTTGCGGGTGCGCCACAGCTTTGAGAAGAGTGGGGTTTACAACGTGCTGCTGCGGGCCAGCTGGGTGCAGCCACCGTTATCAATGCCGTGTTGGACTCTGGCACAGATGTCCTGTGGACTTTTAACATGGGGGACGGGTCCGTCCACGGCAACCTGAATCTAAGCTTCGTCTCTCACACTTTCGCCAAGGAAGGCAACTACACAGTGACGGTGACGGCTCACAATGCCGCCACCTCGACCCACGTCTCCACCATTGCAGAGGTTTACCAGCTTCAGATAACTGACATCCTAGCACCCAGCTGCCTCTCCACAGGGGAACTGACTCACTTCCAAGCAGCGCTAACAGGGCCGAGCAAAGGGGTTCAGTTCTGCTGGGATTTCCAAGATGGCAGCCCCTCTTCTATCAGGCTTGGGGACCCCACAGTCTTTCACAGTTACCCAGTGGCCGGGCACTACCAGCTGAACCTGACTGTACGTGGCACAGTAAGCATTGCCTCTCGCCAACTGGCCATCTGCGTAGAGGATCAGATCCGTTCGGTTAAGCTGACGGTACCGACTCTGGCTGTAGCTTTAGGGGAACCCATGAGCTTCCAGGCTGAGGTGGTTCCAGTGCCGGATCCCCAGCACCAGTATTGGTACCACTGGGACTTTGGTATTGGTGAGGACCCAGTGACCTCGGGGTCTCCAGAAATCACATTCATCTACCTGGAGGGAGGATTGTACCGGGTGTCGGTCTCTGTGTGGAACACGGTTAGCCGGAAAAATGCCTCAGCAGATATCCTGGCTCAAAGGGCGGTTGGCACCATCTCTATTCTCCACAGCGGTGAAACAGGGAGCTTTCTGGCACTGGGCACCTCTTACCTCTTTATGGCTGAGGTCCCCTCGGACAGTGCAGCCACCTTTCTGTGGAACTTTGGAGATAGTTCTCCCCCGCAGGCAGGTCAGAGCGCCTCCCACACCTACCACGTGGCTGGTGATGTCACCGTCACCGTGACCGGAGAGAACCAGGTTAGCCAGAAAAGTGCCTCACTTGATGTTACAGTCCTGGCCCCAGTGTGGCGGCTGACTCTGAGCACTGAGCAGCCGGTCTGTGAAGTCAGGCAGGAGGTCACCTTTCATGCCTCTCTGGCGGTAGGAGACCAGGTTCGCTACCACTGGGCTATTGGAGAGCCCCGTGACTTTCAGAAAGGGGCTGCCATGTTCTCCCATGCTTTCCCTGCCACTGGCGTCTTCGTGGTTTTCGTCACAGCCGAGAACGCAGTGAGCACAGAGAAGGCAAATGTCACTGTTGAGGTCCAGGAGCGAGCCCAGGGGCTTCAGATCCACAGCGGGAATGTGGTGCAAGGCAGGTACCTGGCATCTGCTGAACTCTTTGTGCTGACCGCCGAGGTAACCCAGGGCTCCAACCTCACCTTCTGCTGGGTGATTTCTCAAGGGCCACGCCGAGTGTTCACCACTACGGGACGGTCGCTCACATTCTGTTACAATGCGAGTGGGGAGCTGCTGGTGGAGGTGAGAGCCAGGAACCTGCTGGGAGAGGTGTCCGCTGGCCTTGCCCTGCAGGTGATGGAGAGAGCCTCTGGTGTGCAAGTCCAGGCAGCCAGTGGCAGTGTGGCTGTGGGAAAGCCGGTGAACCTCTCCGTATCTGTGACCTCTGGGACGGATTTGCTCTATTCCTGGCACCTCGAGGAGCATGCCCAGCCCTTGCTCACCAACTCCTCCTCTCTGTCCTACACCTACTCCACTCTGGGCTCCAAGCTGGTGTTCGTCACAGTTTCTAACGTTCTTGGTTCCACCAATGGCTCCACAGAGCTAAGAGTCCAGGAGCCCGTTTCCAGGGTGAGCTTCACGGTGGAAGGAAACACTCCCCCCTTCTTCTTGATGTCTAACACCTCTAGGCAGCTCTGGGGCTCTGGGGCTACAGGCTCTGATGTCACGTGGGAATGGAAGCTGCAGGGGAAGGAGAAGCAGCCACTGTTCCGTGGACAGAACATCTCCTGCGAATTCAGTGAGGCTGGAGTCTACCAGGTAGACCTCCACGCCTGGAATGACATCAGTGAGGACACAGTCTGGCACGCCCTGGCTGTCCAAGACCCTGTGGCTGGGCTGGCAGTGGAAGTGGACAGGTGGGTCTTCGTGCTGCACCTTCAGAGGGGCACGAACGCGAGCTTTGCTCTCACTGTGGACAGAACATCTCCTGCGAATTCAGTGAGGCTGGAGTCTACCAGGTAGACCTCCACGCCTGGAATGACATCAGTGAGGACACAGTCTGGCACGCCCTGGCTGTCCAAGACCCTGTGGCTGGGCTGGCAGTGGAAGTGGACAGGTGGGTCTTCGTGCTGCACCTTCAGAGGGGCACGAACGCGAGCTTTGCTCTCACTGTCCCCTCTTTGGGGCTCAGCCAGGATATCCGCGGAGGAACGCATCACTTCTCTTTCCCAGAGGCAGGCTCTCACCGGGTGCTGGTGTCGGCCTCCAACAACGTCAGCATGGAGGTGGCCTTCGTGGTGGTCCAGGTGCTGGAGAAGGTGCGAGGGCTGCACATCCCCAATTGCTGCCCAGCCATTCTGGAGTCCAACAAGGAGCTGACACTCAGGGCCCAGGTGCGAGCTGGGGAGAACGTCACCTTTTTCTGGGTCTTTGACCTCCCTGGGTACCCTGCCCATGAAGCAGCAGGCCAGCAGGTGGGGTACATGCCCCCCGGAGCAGGTAACCTGACCATTCACGTGGAGGCCCGTAACCCGTTCTGTGCTGCCTCTCTGGCAGTGTCCATGGTTCTGCAGGTGCCCGTCGGGGCAGCCACCTTGTCCAGCAATGGGACTGGGGCTTTCACCAATCAGACAGTGGCCTTTGACGTGGCGGTTGCGGGCGGCAGTGATCTCCGCTCCACGTGGCAGTTCGGGGACTCAGAAGAGACCTTTGCCAGTGGTGAGGGGGGGAG